TGTGGGTCTGGGGTCTGTGCTGTGGGTCTGGGGTCTCTCCCGTGGGTCTGACCCCCCGATCCCCCGCTATGGGGCTGCCCCACACGGCAGGGATCCTGGAGGTTCTGTACTGCGTGCTGATCGAGAGCCCCGAGGTGCTGAACATCATCCAGGAGAATCACATCAAGTCCATCATCTCCCTCCTGGACAAGCACGGCCGCAACCACAAGGTGGGGAGGGGCTCAGGTGTGCCCAGGTGTGTCCCCAGGTGTGTCCCCACGTGTCCCCAAATGTCCCCAAGTACACTCAGGTGTGTCCCCAGGCGTCCCCAGGTGTCCCCAGGCACACTCAGGTGTGTCCCCAGGTGTCCCCAGGCACACTCAGGTGTGTCCCCAGGTGTCCCCAGGTACACTCAGGTGTGTCCCCAGGTGTCCCCAGGCACACTCAGGTGTGTCCCCAGGTGTCCCCAGGTACACTCAGGTGTGTCCCCAGGTGTCCCCAGGCACACTCAGGTGTGTCCCCAGGTGTCCCCAGGCACACTCAGGTGTGTCCCCAGGTGTCCCCAGGTACACTCAGGTGTGTCCCCAGGTGTCCCCAGGCACACTCAGGTGTGTCCCCAGGTGTCCCCAGGCACACTCAGGTGTGTCCCCAGGTGTCCCCAGGTACACTCAGGTGTGTCCCCAGGTGTCCCCAGGCACACTCAGGTGTGTCCCCAGGTGTCCCCAGGTACACTCAGGTGTGTCCCCAGGTGTCCCCAGGTACACTCAGGTGTGTCCCCAGGTGTCCCCAGGCACACTCAGGTGTGTCCCCAGGTGTCCCCAGGTGTCCCCAGGTGTCCCCAGGTGTCCCCAGGCACACTCAGGTGTGTCCCCAGGTGTCCCCAGGTACACTCAGGTGTGTCCCCAGGTGCTGGACGTGCTGTGCTCGCTGTGTGTCTGTAACGCCGTGGCCGTGCGCTCCAACCAGAACCTCATCACCGAGAACCTCCTGCCCCGCCGCGACCTCCTGCTGCAGACCGGCATGGTCAACTACGTCACCAGGTGGGGCTGGGGGCTCCCCAGGGGATCTGGGGGGGTCCCGGGGGTCCCTGAAGAATTTGGGGGGGGTCCCGGGGGTCCCTGAAGAATTTGGGGGGGGTCCCGGGGGTCCCTGAAGAATTTGGGGGGGGTCCCGGGGGTCCCTGAAGAATTTGGGGGGGGTCCCGGGGGTCCCTGAAGAATTTGGGGGGGGTCCCGGGGGTCCCTGAAGAATTTGGGGGGGGTCCCGGGGGTCCCTGAAGAATTTGGGGGGGGTCCCGGGGGTCCCTGAAGAATTTGGGGGGGGTCCCGGGGGTCCCTGAAGAATGTGGGGGGTCCTGGGGAGAGAAGATTTGAGGATTTGGGGAGGTTTTGAGGAGCTTCCAGGCAGTTTTGGAGGTTGTTGAGGTGCTCTTGGAAGTTCTTGAGATGTTTCTGGAAGAACTTGGGGGTGTCTGGGGGGATTTTAGGGTGGGTCTGGGGGTCCCTGAAGAATTTGGGG